CGGAGGGAAGGGGTCCATGACCTGGGTGCCACAAAAGATCGGAAACAAAATTTCATTTTCACTTTATTTGCGTTTTATTGAAATTGGGTTTTGCATCATTTTACCCTACCTTTCAAATTCATATCATTGTTTATTATAATTTATATTACATATTAATTATTTACTGAGCATTATCATAGAATTATCCATTTATATTTTTTTAAATAGTTTTAAACTTAATTTGATTATGTTTTGACTTTGATTTGAACTGACTTTGACTTAATTTAAAAAGAAAACTTATGAAAAAATTTCAAATTCACATTGCGTTGCGGCATTTTGTCAATACATATTTGATTGTTTTTTTCACGAGTTTTCGATTCAATTTCGACTTGCGATAAGATGAAAATTAAAATATATTATTCATAGAGATTATGGAGCTTGCCGTAGGTAAGTGTTGAGTGAGGCGCGGGATTTGATTCAGAGGGCTCGGGTTGGATACCCACTTCGAGCAGCCTGTTGTCAAGCAGAAGTGACAACGGTTTTCACTTGGAACTATAGATAGTAATGTGTTTCCAAGTAAAAATAATCCTCAATCCGGCATTGTTGCAATACCCCAATTGGAATAACGACTTGGGGGTTGTCTAATAGCGTTCAGTATAAAAATTATAACTATATCTCAGATAGAATGAGGTAAATCAATGAATTATATACTAATAACAACGACGTCTTAGTAATATGCAGTACAGCTTATAGAACAACATAATAGTTCTGATTGCAAAAAATAGAGATTATTGAATTAGTCAATAGCTGCATTTTCATTGCATTGTAGTTTTTATTATTGCAGCAGGTAACTCAATATATTTTTTTAAGTTATTTGTTTACATTTACTATGTAAAATATGGTTACTATTAGTTATTATTAATTAAATGTGCAAGGGCATTTTTAATCAAGTGGAGCTGGCTAGAATTTCGTCGCGTTCTCAAGATATTCTGATCAGAATCTATGTCGAAGCATATGCACGTTATGTGCTGTCACGTTGGTAGCTACTGATTACAGATCACTCAAAATACATTCAGAACACGAAAGGATTAATTGATATGTGTTTAAAAATTGATTTAATTTATACAATTCCACATATTATTCGTATGTCAAAGATATCATTTGAAAATCGTTTTTAAAGAGAGCAAAATCTTTATTTTTGAAATAAACAGTTGAACTAATTTTAACTAAATAACTGAATCTCAATTCTTATTGATTAAGTTGATTATGTACACGTATCGGGACGTTCATGCAGCTTGCCTTAAGGCAAAATGCTACTTACAACAAGTTTTAAGTGGAAATACTTATTCAGAATATGCGGCACATTTACATAAAATATCAACATTGTTAAATGAATGAAAGAAATTCGGTGCAAGGCCCTGAAACGGCGCAGCGGTGCGCAAAAATCGCATAGGTTCGTATATATTATAAACACCCACATACTCAATCAAAGTCGAAATTGATGCCCTTCTGCTGAGAAGACTCGTTTATCCCTTTAGCAGTCGTTTCTTTACGATCGTCACTCGTATGCTCAATCAGTCTATCATTAAGATTCAACAGTAGCAATATTAAAATGTCTTCAAAAGTATAAGGCGTATAATTATAATTCCTCTAAACGACACTTCGAGAGAAACCAATCTGTATCAAACTGAGCTTGGAATTGTAACATGACACTTCGGGTTTGTCGGGGTCCTTTCATATATTTTTGTATGTATCTCGATTTTACGGATTCGCGCCAGTGTGTCTGCTGTTTCAGAAGGAAATGCTACGGTTCTCAATGTAAGACGTTTGAATAATTTTAACATTTTTCAACATTAAATCAGTTATAATCAATTTTCCGTAGCGTAAGTATAGTTTTTTTCCAAAAATCAAAAATAAATATTTTTGTGTATCTTTACGTTTCAAAGGTTTTTGAACATTTTGGCATACCCTAGAAAAATTAGATAGATGTATGTATGTGTGTGTGCGTATGTGTGGATACAATTTTTGCGATTTGAATTATTAAAAATCAATTCCAATTGATAGGGAGACTTGCTGATTAGTTTTTGGCAAAGACAAGTCCAGCCGTTTCGAAGATACGGAGCAGAATATGCAAAAAATGGGAATTCGGATTTGCGATAATGGGAGATCCGATTTGATTGATTCAAAATAAATTCGATCGTCTGACGTGGAGACGTGCTGGTTAGTTTTTGGCAAAGACAGATCTACACTTTTGGGAGATACCGAGCAAGAAATGCTAAAAATTACAGTTTTTGAGGAAACGGAACATTCGATTCGAAAGGCCCAAAAAATATTTTACTTGTGTGAAGTGTGAAAAAACGATTAGTTTTTGGGAAAGATAACAAAAAATTATTTCAAACCTTCAATTTTTTCAAAATTTTCGAATACTGCATTACGGCACGGAAAATTTCAGCATTTGCCTTAAGGAACGATGCAATAAACGTATTCGCGTAATTAATATATAGATAAGTTTTTGTAAATATAAATCACAATAGTATGTAATCATTCATAAGAGCAACATTGCAGTAATAACCATATACCATTATTAGTTGCTTTAGAAAGGATCAACTTCGATGAAAAAATATAAATTCAATATTGAGAAAAATCATTCAAAACGTATTAAATAGCGATAGTGAAGAAGAACTAAATAAGCAGAAAAATGAAATAGGCAGACAATTTTGCAAATGAAAAACATTACGGTAAGCCGTAACTTTTAATATAATTGTTAAGTGAAGAAACTGGATAGTGACATCCTTTAAAGAAAAAGTGCAAGAAAATAATCAATCGATTTTACTGGAAATCGGATCAAGCTGCTACTTACAAATATTAAAATTCACATATTGTGAACATGTGAAGCTAAATCCTGACATTTTGCGTATGGTGTGAAACTCCGCACGCCGATGAACAACGGCGCCTTGTCGTCTGTTCTGCGCACAACATTTTTTGTCAAGCTTTCACCAAATGTTTAAATCGTTTTCGACTTTTTGATTATTTAATAATCACTGATTGTTGTAAATTAATTAACACAGAGCAAATAATACTCAAAATTATACCATATCTCTGCCCGATATAACTGTAATGAATAGGATTAATGATAAACTCTACTATTTGGCTATTTATTAGAATACGGCAGGTCCAATTGAAAACAAATTTAACATATGACGACAAATAACGCATATCCAACCAAAAATTATCTGACAATGTTCAGTAAAACTACCAGTTAATTCAACATTGGAGAAATGTGTTTTCTTGCTGTTTTTCAAAAATTTGCGACCTGGTCCAGAAGGTAAACAGGCCCATTATCTTATTTTAATTTTAAAGGGATTTTACAAAATAATAGCTACATTATTCAACCAATGCAAAATATAAATTTCATAGGTGCATTTTTACAGACATAACACCTTGATTTAGTATTCCGTCAGAAATATTCATCAGCAAAATTAAAGTAATTATTCATTTAATTGACCTCTTGTAAATTACTTTATTTAACTGAATTTACTTTTTATTTGCTCTTTGTTATTTTTCACATTTTTGCCAGGGTAAAAGTTAAGTTGGTCCTTTTTACCCCGCCCAGGTGTAAGCTTTTATAGAGATTATATAAAAAACGGTTGAATTTAACTTAAAATTAAAAATGCATCTTATAAAATAATTAAATAACGTGTACTTAAATATTACATTAAAGTCTCGTAAACTAAACAACAGTGCCCACAAAGAAAAAAACTACGAAAGAAAATACTTTTGTTATGGTTTTTCAAACATTACCCTTTATCTCCCATAGCAACGTCGTGAGAATCAAGGTGATGGTGGCTGGTTATACATCTTTTTCCCATATAGTTTCGAATATTTTCGTTAAAAAGTTCTTAATTTAATATAATAAGGATTTAATTTCTCTAAATTGTATTCATACCTACCTATATTCCTATGCCTAAAGTACCAGAGAATCTCAATGAATCTAGTTTTGTTCGTGGCATCTAGATTTCCAAGTAAAAACCGATCTCGCTACTGCTTGACATAAGACTGTCCGAAGCGAGTATCGAAACTAGGCCACGGGGGAGCAAAAAATCAATGAATAATCATGATTTTCTATAAAAATTGTTCTCTCAATAATATGGACTACTTACTTAAGATGCTTATAATATTCAACAAAATGTGTTATATTTATCTATGTTCCGTTATCGTTGTTTACATAGCACTAAGAAAATAATATTTACGAATATCTGAGCACAGTCGGCCAAATGTAACTGTTCATCTGTCACTTTTGCTATAGAATGTCGATATTTTGGTAAAACATGGCCTAACCGATTTCCCAAAGACTTGATGATTATTTTGATTCTCATAACATAATATTATCTTAGGCCTGAAAAACGTACCTAAGGGATCTTTTACACTTAAACTGATACTTGTTTAGTCAAAATATAAAAAATAATTAGAAGCGAGGTGGTAGCATAGTTCTATCTTAGATGTTATTTGATATAGTTTCTAAATATTTAACTATTCATTAGTTCAGAATTCTATATATACCACGAATAATAAGGCTGAAAATACAGTTTTCAACAAACAAAAATCATAAAATTTCAACAATGCTCATATACCTATATAAATTTCTAATGTAAAAACTTTCTGCAGCCCGAATTACTTTTTATTGAAAATTTATATAATTTTTGTTTTACCAAGAAAGTTTTCATGTCAGGGCGGTATATTTCCATAACTCAATAAATGAAATATAATGGATGTTAAATTTTAAAAGTTGGTTTTTATTTTATGTAGTGATAATAAATAAAATTACTAATGTATTTTGTAATTAAATTATATATTGCATGAAGTACTTTGACTGTATCTTAGAATTATGGATTTTGAAAATAATATAATTTTCTATTGGACAATTACGGGGAAGTAGATTACAACTAAATCGACATTAAAATGCATTATGGATGTGTGTGTATGGAAGTGCCCCTAAAAAACTCTTAAGTTATGTTTGTAAAATAATTTTTATCACAAGAAGAAAATTCTATATACCATACATATACAATTTCTTCCCACAGTATTAAATTATAACAACTATCGATAAAATAGTTGAAATATTTGAAAAGATTGGCTACGCAAATTGTATTTTTTTGCAAACTGAGTATTTGTTCGTTGCTATCGACTTAGCTTCAATTTGTCACTATTTACTCTTTTATTTATCTTCAAATATTTTAAATCAATTTCTAGTTTAGGAAATATTGAATCATTAATACAAATTGCTGGTGGTGTATGGCAGAACGGTAATATTTTTGAGAAAAAAAAGATTAACATTATGTAATCTATCGATTTGGCGCTTCAGCTAGGATGAAAAAAAAAGAACGAAAATAAAAAAGGCTATATTTTAAACCAGCCCCGAAATTTGCGAGTGAACTAATCAGCTTGTATCATGGTAATTTTAACATTCTAAAAATATCTAAGTTTTGAGTTTTTTTTCAAATCTTGTTTTTTTTTAATTTTAAAATGATTGGAATTGCAGCAGCCGATACCGTTTATAGTTCCGCCAAAAAAAGAGCTTGAAAAAATATGTCTTTCACAATTTTTCGAAGATAATGGTCGCCGTAATAATGTAGGAACTTTAAATTCGTTATATCGCATTTTTTCGGAAAAACCTATAAAAAGGCATATAAATCATTTAAATACCATATAAATTAGCGTATAAATCAATTATTATAACGAATAATTTTCATTAGTATTTTGTGAATTTTCATATATTGACATTGTAATTTAGTAAAGATTGTAAGCATCTTATTAAAGAAAGTTGACAATTTGTTGTCAAATAATTATATTTAGGCATTTTAGTATTTACGGCTTTTCAGAACATTTGTGTCTACGAATTGACATTATGAATCGTATCATTTTAAAACACCACAATTCATTCAACAATTATCCGGAAAATGTGTCCACACACATTTTTCTACAGAATGTCAATATGGTGAAAATCTTGAAGTGTAAGGATATAAAAAATCGTGTTTGTAAAAAAGTGAAATTAGAAAAATATAAATATAGTCAACAAATAAACAAATCTGTGAAATATAAAAGTCGTTCTCGTCAGAATGAAATTTTAAAAACAGCGAGAAACCTGGGCGTCTCTATGGTGGAAATGCGCCAAAGTAGCCAATGACAATAAACTGAATTCGAAGCATCTTCGTGCCATAGGCTAAGCTTGAAGGAGAGCCACGCCTTTGGGAAATTATTTTCAGGACACATTATTATCTCTTGAGACATTAGTTAGTTAATCATTCACTTTCCAGCTAAGCTATCGCCTTCCGATAGGTCAAGTTTCTTATGTGAATTATTGATAAAATATAAACAAGGTTGTATTTTATTTGTGGGATTATTAACAGTCAAAGGTAAGATAATGCAAATTATTATATACCAAATATTTATTATATATATATATTATAATATATATATATATTATGTATTAATAGATAAACGCTAATCACAAATTATATATTATCATATTTCTCTAAGTATATTGTTATATAGGCATTACAAATCATAAATTATAGACATATTAAGTTTTTAAATATTTTTTGTTCACTTATAATTATAGTTATTAATTTACCCCATAAAATAATAACTAATAATAATTAGTGCAATTAAATTAAAAGAGAAACTGGCACTTACTGAATCTCTTGCCTTATGATTACCAATTACTGAAATTCATTTTTTTTATTGGGTATTTTTACATTTTTTAAAAGTGTACTTTCAGGACCACTATAGTCGTACCACCTATAGTCGACGCAATTTTTCCTATATAAATGCATTTAAATACCATTAATTCGTCCCAGCACTGTGGTTTTATGTTTATAATTTTTTCGAATATTAAAAATAAATTTACCATATATTAATTTAATTATTATTTTTTCCTGTAGTGCATAAATGAGTTAGACATGTTTCGTTGAACAACCCCCCTGATCAAACTGTTGCAACTTTTTCGGAGTGATTTTTATTCACAGTCCTTTAAAGCTCGGAAAGCTCCTTATAAATTATTATAAGGCCTATAATTGAATTTATGCCCTTTACATCAACTCCTTCGGTTTAAATACAGTACATATCTATGATGTGTACGCTAGTATATCTTCATCATCCTTATATTGTTCAATAATTTAACTATAAAACAGCCAAAATATTTCTTTAGTACAAAGTTCTATAGTATAGTTCAATTACAGTACAAGATTATTGATTATACCCGCTTGGTATTTAGTCTTTCGCCCAAAAATTTAAAACAAATAATGTTTCTGCCTATTATAATTTTGTATTTATTAAAAAAAATCTATAAGTACGAGTACGGAATTTTGCACAAGTCCGACTAAGGATGCGTGTCTTCGAAGTTTCAAATTAAAACTACTTACATAATCTAAACAAATTATGTCAATTAACAATGCCGAATAAGTAAATAACTTTTGCAAGAAAAAAAAATCAAATGAAATTATTGCTATGAAAAGCTTACAGCTAAGTCAAATATATCAATAGACCTCAATTAAAAAATTTTGTTTAATTTTTAGACGTATTCAACTAAACAGTTCTCTTTAACAGTAAAAGATGTTGTAATTTATAAAAATTGAGAAAATATTAAAATATAGCCGCGGTACAACTTGAGGAATATTTTATAATTATTCAATAAACAAGAATCGCACAATTTGTTTCTATGAACTATCTTCTAAAAATTACCTTTTAACTATTTGTCAGTTAGATGAAAGTATTAGAAAAAATTAAAACTATATATATATACTATATATAAACTATATATATACAAGTTATAATGATTTTCTAATTTAATTTTAATTCATTTTTATTATACGAACTTTGTCCAAACTATAATATTATTAATATTATAAGAAACAGCAACGTTCAAGATAAAAGTTAACAATATCAAATATTAATTTTCAATAAATAAATTTATTGGTATTTGGTATTGAAATAAATAATCATTAATAATAAGTAATTAATAAAATTTTATAAATATATGCGTACAAATATCATTTGAAAATAAGATCATTACAAAGCATGTGAATTTTTTTTCTAATGATGTGTCTAGTAAACATATGATAATAATATATCAAAGAAATGGTCAAACATATATAAAAAAGACACAAAAACCGGAAGTAAAATATTGGGGTCATCTTTGTTTTCAGAACATGAAACTCAAAACTTGAAAAAAATTATAGCAACCGTTAGGTCCCATTGAAATCTAAAACTGAGCAAATATCGTTTGCAATTCGGAAACAGATTTATGAATGAAATTCAGAAATGAGAATTTACTACTTTGTAGTTTTGGTGAGGCATATCGTAACTTGACTAGGTGCAGTTTTTTTCATTCATAAAATATATACAAATAATGTAGTCCACTTTCTAATTTTGTAAATCCAATGGATAATTATCGTTTTTTCGTTTAATATTATTTGCATTACATTTAGATTATAAAAACTCTAATTAATTGTGATAATACGAATAATTAATTTCGTAGATGAATATGATTAATGCTTGTAGTATATTTATACAGTCCCCACATTTTAGAACATTTGAAGTTCTTTGAAACCTGGTATAACTAGAAATATATAAATTTAGTTTTGAAATAAGGTAGGGCGGGGCACAAAATTCCAATTTGACTTTGAGCAATTTTATTGTAAAAAACCAAACCAATTATATCAAACAAACAACTATCTAATTATGTTAAGTGAAAATTCCAGCTAAATCATTATTTTGGAAATATTTCTGCTGTGTTTCAAAAATTTGTAACCTGGTCCTTTTTACCCCATATGCGGAGTAAAATGAGACGGCCACGGAAAAACAAGGTACAATGTTCACTTTTAATTTCAAAATAATTTTACGAAATAATAGTTACCATATTCAACCAATGCAAGATATAAATTTCACGGGTATATTTTTTTCAGAGATAATACTATATATAACCTTGATGAGGTATTTCATAAAAAAATCATCAGCAAGGTTGGAATGAATATTTATTTAACTTAACTCTTGTAAAATTGATTTTCTTAACTTATTTTCCTTTTTTATTAACAATTTTTTATTGTTTATACCTTTGCCAGAGCAAATTTTCAGTTGGTCTTTTTTACCCCACCCACGTGTAAGCTTTTATAAAGGTTATATAAGAAAAATGTTAAATCTAAATTAAAATTAACAATACATCTTATAAAACACATAATAACGTAAACTTATCATAAGTAATAATAAATAAATTGTAATTATCTATAAATTTGTAATTATCTATAGCTCACAACCAACGAAAGAAAATACTTTTGTTATCCCCCGTTAACAACGTCGTACGAATTAAGGCGATAACTGGTTATACATTTTTTCATCTACTTTCAAATATTGTTTAAGGAATTCCTAACTTTTAATAATTCCTTACTCGTTTTTGAGATATCGGTGGTGAACCTTTTTATCCGCGGACCTTAATGGCTCGCTCTACCCTAAATGAAAACAGGAAAATATTGTAAAGTATACCTCCGACTTTGCCTCTAATGCGTCAAGTAGTTTGTGTTCTCAAAAAAATGGCCAAAAATAATTACAACTAAAATCACTAATTATTCGAAAATTACTTACAGTTTTAGTGCTACGTGCTAGTACATTATATTTATTATTATTATATTATTATATTTATTATTACATATATTATTTTAAAGTGCTTTCTTTGAATTGTATGCGTTAAAAAAACGTGCGGGAAAAAAGATACTAGGTATTAGGGCTTATCATATCATATGATTTCGCTTCAGAGAGGAGTTATATCTAACATTTTTATTCCCATTATTATAAAAATTACTATTTTATGCATTTTGAAAATCTTTGTTGATTCAAAAATGAATTTCGAACAGAATGAGCGGCAAAGATTTATCTGTCAGTCGGCAGCCACCGTCGAATAGTGCCGAAGCAGAGAGTCCGCATTTGCAGCAAAAGCGCTTGCTGCGAACCCCTAAATGTGCCCGGTGCCGAAACCACGGCGTCATATCTTGCTTGAAAGGACACAAAAAACTGTGCCGCTGGCGCGATTGTCGTTGCCCAAATTGCCAATTGGTCGTAGAAAGACAACGAGTTATGGCCGCACAGGTGAGAAGATGGAGACGATTATATATTCAGAATTTAATAAAATATTATTCATAAATCAGTCAAACATACAAAGTACATTTCAATAAATTTAAATTTATATTTCAGGTCGCACTAAGAAGACAACAGTCATCGGAGGAACAGAATGGAAGTCACCAGGATCCGGTATCGCGTGCCCAATCGTTGGAAGCCCTTCTGGCGCAGAAAAGACTTTATCAAAAACATTTGCGTTCTTTGCAACAGTCTACGCTGACCAGAGAAATTTTACAAGGTGAGTAAGCCATATTAGTTTTAATTATCATATACCCACATAACACGGTAGTTATGTTCCAAAAAAGTAGCGTGTTATGCGAATCTGTGTTATACGGGACAAGGAACTAGTACAAAAAGAGGGGTGGGTTAGGTTCCAAGAATTCAAAAAAGCATGCTACATATCATGATTTTATAATAAATATTGTTGTATTTATTATTTTTTAAAATATAATATACATTACATCAATTATATGATTTTTTCGTCATAATTACATGATAATTGCTATCTAACACCATTCTTTTTAGCAAGATATCTTCATCCTTTGAGTTGCTTTCTAAACGACCTCCAGATCCGTATTATTTTTTTCAAAATTAATTATATTTGCGATGACTTAGCAAAAAGATATTATATATTTATTACATGCAAAATTATCTTTGTTAAAAGAGGTATCAAATTAGTTATCTTTTGCTTTAGTTTCATCACATTTATTGAGCTATTGTACTGCGATTTTACTAATTTTTGATGAAATTAAGTTTTATTTTCATGAATTTTATTATATTTTTTATTTTATTAAGGTTTTGCCCAACTCTTAAACCGTGTTAGAGCAAATCCGTGCTTTAAAAGTACCCTGTTATAAGAGGGATGCTATAAATTCTTAAACCGTGTTAAAGCGAATCCGTGTTAAAGAAGTACCTTGTTATGTGGGGGTTAACTGTATATCCAACTTGCCTGAAATGCCATTGAACTAATTGTGAGTTAAAACTTAACCTTATTCAGAAAAAAAAACTTATCGCTCATGGACTGTGCGATGCGCGTCGATGATCGTATTAATTATGTATAAGATTGCATTAACATGTATTAAGATGCAAAACTACATATTATTAACTACATATTAACCCTTTCCACTCGCTAATTGCGGAATTATTACATATTTTGCCGACGGAGCGTAATAAATATTACATATTTGGCTTTTTTATTATTAGTATTCCTGCGGCAACTTTTAATAAAAAATCGTACATACTTAATTAATATGGTGCTTTTAACAAAAGGAACATGAAACATTAGTCAAGCAAAAGTTTTTAATGCTTTACCACATTCCCAAGTACAAAATACTTTAAATCCTTCTTTTCAAACATCAAAAGAGCTTTCAAATTCTTACATTCTTCCTCAGAATATTATATATTATAAATGTCAACAACTCTAACGCGTATCTATTTTTGGAAAAATCTTATCTCGCAGCATGTCAAAAATTAATTAATAGTATCGAAATATCCAAAACGACACGCTCAAAGAATTTGACACATTTTTGTAGCTGAATGAAATTAATTATTAGTTTTGTGCGTTGAACAGATAATTTTCTTGATGAATTGAAAACAAATCATTAATTATATGATTGAAAATTCTTTGACATGTTTTTTAATCAAAAGACTGTTATAACCATTTCAGTTAAGTTGTTTGTTGAAAGATATAAGGTAAATAAGAATGTAAAAAAATATAATTTCAATTTTTTTACTACTTAATACTGTTAATCATCAAAAAGGTATCACGGAATAAATATTTTGTATGTAATATTTGGTCTAATGATATAATATATGTAATATCAATACATAATTATGTAGTTTTATAAGAACATTGTACACATCGCAATCATTTGTCATTGGTTTGCATATAGTAATAAATTACATGAATAATAGACCAAATCAAAAGTTAGAAGTAAAATCAGAAATATAGAGAACAAACAACCTATGATTCGTTTGAGTGCAAAATTTGAGATAGGAAAGCCGGGGTCAAAGGTCCAATTTGACTTTGACCATTTATATTGTGAAAACCGAACCAATTATATTTCAACAAATAACACATATCAAACAAACAACTGTCTGACTATATTCAGTAAAACTTTCAGCTAATTCATCATTGTAAAAATTAGTTTTTTTTGCTGTTTATCAAAAATAAACCGCATAAGCGGGGTGAAATGGGACGGCTATGGGGCAATAGGTCCAATGTCTGATATTAAAAGGATTTTATGAAATAATAGTTTACTTTATTCAACCAATGCAAAATATAAATTTCATAGGAACAGTTTTTACACTGTATATAACCTTGATCTGATATTTCGTCAAAAATATTCATCAGTAGGGTTGGAATAACTATTAATTTAATTTATTTCTTGTAAAATTACTTCTTTTAACTAAATTTACATTTATATGTACTATTTTTTATTGTTTGCGCTTTTGCCAAGGTAAAAAGGTTTAGATGATCCTTTTTACCTTATCCACGTGTAAAATTTTATAAGGGTTATATAAAAAAACTGTTGAATCTAACTTCACATTAACAATACTTAATTAAATAATGTATAGTTAAAAATTATACTAAGGTCTTGTAAACTAAACGACAAAAAAAGTGCTCACGCCAAAAAAAACTAACAACGAAAAAAAATACCTTTGTTATAGATTTTCAAACATAACAGCAGTTTATTTCCTGATAGCGACTTCGTCAGAATTTAGGTGATAGCTGGTTATAGGTACGTCTTTTTCCCTTTCAAATATTGTTGTTAAGAAATTGTTAACTTCACTTGCCTTCAATATATCGGTGATGGACTTTTTACCCGCGGACTTTTAAGCCCCCCTCTACCCCCTACGCGCAGTCAAATGATTTGTGTGTATTCTACATCCATCATTTTTGTATGTTTAACTATTAAATTTCGATTTTTGTATGTAATTAAGTGTCGAGTTATTCCAATCTATTGAGTAGTAAGTAAATGTTAATCCAAAATCCCAGAACAACAAACAATCGTCATATACATTATCGCTTCCTTTCCAGTTGTCAGACTACCAGACAGGGTAGAATTGCAACATAAACATATAATATTATCTTAAAACTCGTCTTAACTGACTTCCCGGCGTCGCCTCAATGTTTCCTTTTCGAAATGAACGCCGTCGAACAATATGCGCGCAGCTGTCAAATTTTATTAACAGCAGTTAAAAGTGTTTCAAAAGCGTTGTTTATAGGTTTATTTTTTACCGTATGTCGTTGTATATAATTCTTTTGTTCGGACAAAGAACGCAGATAATTGGTTTTTAACACTTTTACTATTTATTCTATTCACGCTCATATTATTTTTTTCGATCCGCTTGTTTTAAGATTTACACAACGCTATATCATCTCGTATTCTTTGTGCTTTAACAAATAAACACTACAAGTATTTTCAAAAGACTTTCATGAAATGTTTGTATTTTGAAATTAAAGCGTTGAACCATTTGATACTCACTTTAAAGTCAGTAAAGTTAGCCGTGCATATTGCATGGTTAATAATTTTCACTTTTCCACAATGCCATAGCAACACACTAAGCGCACATTGATGTCCATTAAATGTTTCATCTATAGATAATTGAAACTAATTTTTATTATCCGATTATATGTAGATAAATATTTTTTAAACCGTAGATAATTAGTTTCATAAATTCATTACTTTTTAAATTTTAATTACAAAGCAGAATCCAAAAATTAATTTTTTCCTCTCAAAAATGGTTGTATCTTCAGATTTTAATATTCAATTTATTTTCATTTCATTTTTTTTGCTAAAATGTCTCATTCTGCGAACCATTCATGAGCTATGTACTGTGTACATATTTATAAAATTGGATAATCCTGCAAAAAACCCTTAGTGTATAGTGTTTGAGAATATCATAAAAATATTACAAAATAAAACGGTAAAAACTTAAACTTTATCAAAAACAACCCTCACTCAGTGTATAGTGTTTGAGAATATCACGAAAATATTACAAAATTAGTGATTATGCAAGAATCGATAGATATTTTGACGTATCAAGATTTATCGATAGTAACCTTTTCTTCACCAAAATCTAAGAATTGTCTTGAAAATGTTTCAGCGAATAGAGCGGATAAATTTAAGCTTTTCCATAATAAAAAAAACTCCGAAAAGACTTGTTTAAAAATCGTTGAAATTTTTTTAAAAAAAATGATCAGTTATCGAGCTAGATAAAATTAGATGATTGGGCTACTAAAATGAATATTACGAAATACAGGTTTGTAGTAGAAGGGTGAAAATTTAGTGAACATATCAACACATCAAATTCAAAAATTAATTAATCATTGCAAAATTTCCAGATAATTAACATCAAACTTCTCTATTTCGATAACCAAAAAAATATTCAGAGAACCTCGTAAAATAATTCTATTCGGTAGAGTTCAAAAAGGCAAAGCGGTAGGGAAAGGATGATGACAAAAAATGGAAGTAAAGATTTAGAATGATTGACATCCAATTAACGCATGCTCGTGATGGCTCTCGGCTCTACACTAATATAACTTGGGTACAATTAACAAGAAAAGAACCGTACTGAAAATTAAGTGCTGTTTACGAATATAATATTATCTTTATGAAAATCTGGATTTATGTGTGATCGTTTTGTTTTCGTTAAATATGCTCTTACATTATTTTTATTTGTGGTATTGGTCTCTAATGTCTTGCATTAGATATATCTTATAATTCACATCTTCAAGAATTTTCGTTTAATTGATGAAAAATGAAATTTATAAACACAGTCTTAGATTAATACATATACACACACATATATATATATATATATATATATATATATATATATATTAGGGTGGTCCTTAATGTGGACATTTTCGAATTTCCTTGCTCCCAAGGGCTCAAATAGTTCCAAATTGATAAAAAATTCTCTGAAAGTTTTAGCTCTTAATATTGTCTTTTATATAAAGCGCAATTCAATCAAAGTTTTGTATGGAAATAGCGTGAAAAAATTTTCAAGAATTTCAAGAATTCAAAAAGTAATAAAAAACAGAAGATTTTAAAAAAAAAATCGACCATCTTCTGCTTTTCTTAAACATATTGTTTGCTTAAATCTTATCAAGATCATGTTTCTTGACAGATGTCCTGAAGATGGAACGTATCTAGTTCCGAAACGTCGACAATAAATAAATAAAGAAATGGTTTTTTAAAAACATTATATATATGTATATATAGTAGAACGAAGCTTAAATATCCGTGGGTAAAAAGGTCTGCTGCCATTATCTCAGAAACAAGTAAAACTAGAAATTTTTAACTTCAATATTTAAAAGTAAAGGATAAAAGATATATAACCAGCCATGACCTTGATTCTCTCGACGTCGATATCCGGAAATAACCGTAATGTTTGAAAATCCCTAACAAAGGTATTTACTTTCGCCGTTATTTTTATTGTTTGTTACGAGACCTTAATATTCTTTTATAAGATGTATTGTTACTTTTAAGTCAGATTCAACAGATTTCATTACATAACCTCAATAAAGGATTACATATGAGTGGGTTAAAAAAAACAACTGACCCTTTACCGTGGAGAAGTAAACAATTAGAAAATAGTAAATTGAATTTAAAAAAAAAATCTAAAAGAGAAAAATTGAATGAATGGTTATTCCAACTCTGCTTATGAATATTTCGGACAAAATATCATCTTAAGGTTGTATACAGTCAGGGCTCGCCCGTAGGTAAGCGGTTAAGAGCGACGGGGTTTGTTTCAGAGGTCCCGGGTTCGATTCCCACTTCGAGCAGCCTGTTGTCAGGCAACATTGACAACGATTTTCACTTGGAAATATAGATAGCAATATGTTTCCAAGTGAAAATAGCCCTCACCGGCATTGTTGCACCATACTTGCCCTATTACAGAGATTGTAATAAAAATTTATCATACAGAGATGTGACAACTGTTTGGGTTGCCCTCTGTAATAAAACAAACGTAGTTTGTAAGATCTTACTCACAACAGCTCATAGAACCCATTAGTTCTGATTGCTGTTCAAATAAAATTAAAATATATATATATATATATATATATATATATATACGCTGCAATTTAACATACTGCAATCAATTTATTATAGTTTCGAATATTTCTCTATTATTTTCCAGGGTGCCGTAGATTTCAAATATGTCGCGGTCCCCCTTTATCGGATCGTTTGCGCAAGAGGCGCGCTTTCGCTGACAGCGAACTGGACAGAGCCGGCGAGGCGCAGTGCCCCACATTGCCTTGTGCTCCGATGGTTTGCAATCCGGGACCAGAGTATGCGATCAGGACCATCAGGGAGAGATTAATGCAGTACGCAGTACAGCCACAACAAGATACAGTAAACACCACACAGAATGTCTCTCAAAGGTAAATTTTCATTTTAAATTGTTTCTTGACAATTATTCCTGGAACAAAATATTTTTAAACCTACAAAATAAAAAATTTAAAATCATTTATTAGGGTAGTTAATGGACCGAAAATCGTAAATGAATTTTTTTGCATATCTTCACATTTTGAAGGTTTCTGAATATTTTGGCATACCTTAGAAAAAATGGATGTGTGTGTGTGTATGTACGATTTCGGGAACACGGATCAACCGATTTGAATAATTCAAAAAGCATTCGATTCGTATTGATAAGGAGACGTGCTGATTAGTTTTTGGCGAAGGCAGGTCTAGCCGTTACGAAGATACGGGGCAAAAAGTGCCAAAAACGGTAACTCAGTTTTTAAGAGAACGGAGCGTCCGATTTTAATAATTCAAAAAACATTTTACTTGTATTGACAAGATGAAGAATTGATCAAATTTTCATGAGGGCAGGTCCAGCGGTTTCAGAAATCTAACAAAAAAAGTAAAAAAAAATGCCATTTGGCGGTCAAAAATGATCATTAGACATATGCACATCAAATTATCAGATATTTTATAGAGATTTTAACAATAAGTATAAACTTTGTTTACATTTCTATGGGTTCCAAACCAATGTTTATCCGTTAGACAGCGACGCGACGCGCTTTATATTTTGTCTCTATGTAGTTAAAGTAGTACGATTGCTTTGAAAAAAAGTTCAGATCTTCCAAAATATGTCAAAATAAAGGTAATTTTTTGTCCAATTTATAGTTTCTCAAAAATCTTATTTTTTTTTCAAAGTAAATTTTTTTCAAAAATGTTAATCTTGTTTTTAAAAAAATAATAATTGTTGGTACGAGAAGTTCCAGCAACTTGCCTTAAGGCACGATGCCTTAATTCCTTACGACAGAATTCCACTTACAGCTAGTTTCGAAGTGTTTTCAAAAATTTTTTGGCTGCTATGATATTTCATAAAAGAACTCAGTTCTTGTTCATCAACGACGCAAAATGCCACTTACACATATATTTAATTGTTTCAGGTTGTTAAAGTGTTACAGAATACAAGCTACGGATTTCTTCAACCAGCAGCCCTTACCAACTCCTACTGGCGAAGAAATTTGGACAACAAATTACCCACAACATCTGTTATATTCTGATATGAGAAACATATATTCAAACTCCATTTCAAACCATGATCAGCTGCTTAGCTCAAGAAATCACCTAAAAGCTAATTCTGATTATGAAGAACCAGAGAATATGCTTAATTGTGCTCAAAATAAAAATATAAACGCGCCATTTAATATGATAAATAGCGAAGACGTTTTTATAGATCGCACTCATTTTGTGCAAACTCAAAATTATGATGCTACAATATTAGATAATACTCTGAATGGTACAAAAATTAAACGAAGTATTAGTCCTGTTGAATCTAGCGTGAATCGGTTAAATTCAATGGAAATTAGTTCTGATGATATTATTTTGAAAAATGAGAGAACTCCAAGTTTACCCTCCTCCGATGTAACAGTTTCCAAAAAGCCAAAAATATCATTTTCAATAGATTCAATAATAGGTGTCAAATAATATCAAAATAACTGCCTAAATTATAAATGTAAAACAAATAATTAAGTTTATAAAAATATAGGAAAAAATAGTTATTAAATATTCAATAAGTTTATATTATTATGAATGGATATCGTACATTGTAAATGTAATTGACAAATTTAATGCATAAAAATATATTGTAAATAGTCATTATTGTACCAAATATTTTTATAAAATATTGTTATTATATAAATAAATTTTTGTAATAAATCAGTTGTTTGTATTCGTTCATAGTATTTATAATAATGTTTGTTCTAAATTCGACATAAACGATGAAAGATTTTCGAAAATGAAAAAAAGGGATATTTAAATTTATATAAGTTATTTTTTGGCAAAGCCAGACAGCTTGGTGCCAGTCGCTGCGACCCTTGTCAAAACGAATGATTTATGCTTCCTTTAAATCCTAAATTAACAACGTTTTTGAGAATTCAATATCGACGGCACATATGGTATATTCTTCGCAAACTTTCTAATATTAATTGATAATACTTTATTGTTTAACATTTTTATTTCAGGAAAATATATTACATGCATAGGTGGCATTAGGATTTAGATACATAGCCATAAAAAACACATATGCATTCATTCCGAATGTGAAAAAAGTTATATGTTTTCGTAAAGAGAAGGTATATATTATAACGAAACTAATGATAAGTTAAAGAAAATGCTTATACAAATGTGTATGTAATAAACTCTTAATTTAACAATAGTAAATTAGGTAACAACCTAATTTATAATAGCCCGTACATACTTTATACATTTTCTTTTATATAATTTTTATTTAAAATAAAAATTCAAATAATTTGTATAAAAGGTGAGAACGGTTCCTGCATTAATGTCTCACGGGGTGAGATTAAAGCATCGTATATATATATATATAATATATATATATATATATATATATATATATATATATATATATTTATATAACAAGATCGAAACAAAATATTTCAATGCACAATGGTTAAAACTTATGTAAATCTGTCTTATAAATAAAAAATCTAGAAAATTTTAATAAAATACTGCATACATTTTTTGTTTTTTTTTTTAATTTTATGTCTAATTTAATTGCGCAATATACGAGGTGTGTTCAAAAAGTACCCGGAATTACTAATAATTAAATTTCGCGGGTCTGGAGTGTCTGATTGTCAAAATTTTTTTTTTATTGTGTTGGTATACAAGCCCCTAAAGTATGATGAAATTTTCAGCTATATTCACTGTTTACTTTGTCTGTGGTAGTCGCTAAGGTTCGACGTGTTTTTCTGAGCTCGGCGATTTTTACAATGGAAGAATTGAAAAGTCAAAGAATTTGTATTAAATTTTGCGTAAAAAATGAAATAAAGTGTTGCAAAGTGCAAAAATTCACCAGATATGGCTCCGTGTGACTTTTTCCTATTCCCAAAGTTGAAGAGACCCATGAAAGGACGGCGGTTTTCCTCGATTGAAGAAAATCGCTGAGAGTGCTCAAGGACATATCAAAAAGTGAATATCAAGGGTGCTTCGAAAATTGGAAAAAACGCTGGCATAAGTGTATTATATCTGGGGGGGACTACTTTGAAGGGGACCACATTAATGTAGACGAATAAATAAATATTTTTTTGAAAAAACGAAAATTCCGGGTACTTTTTGAACAGACCTCGTATGTATGATCAGAATCATACTATATATATATATATATATATATATATATATATATATTAGGGTGGTCCTTAAAATGGTCATTTTCGAATTTCCTTGCTCCCAGGGGCTCAAATGGTTCCAAATTGATAAAAAACAATTCTCTGAAAGTTTTAACTCTTAATATTAACGTTTAGATAGAGCGCAATTCAATCAAAGTTTGTATGGAAAGAGCATGGAAAAAATTTTGAAAATTAAAAAAAAATGTTTTAGGTATAACTTAGCGACAAATGAATGAGTTTTATTCATTCATTTGTTCGCTAAATTACATTTAAAAAACATTTTTTAAATTTTTGAAAAAATTTCCATGCTATTTCCATACAAAACTTTGATTGAATTGCGCTCTATCTAAACGTTAATATTAAGAGCTAAAATTTTCAGAGAATTGTTTTTAATCTATTTGGAACCATTTGAGCCTCTGGGAGCAAGGAAATTCGAAAATGACCATTTTAAGGACCACCCTAATATATATATATATATATATATATATATATATATATATATTAGGTTGTCAAATATCTCCCTTCCGCTTTTTTGCTCTTGGTTTATAATAATTAAAAAGGCGGAAGGGAGATATTTGACAATCTTATATACAAGTGTTCCATGGCGTAATGGTTAAGCGCACCGTCTCGTTGAAAATATAGATGAAAAATATAGCTGCGGTGTAAAATAGCAATGGAAAATCTCTCACACTATTCTGTTTTTTTTTTAATTTTAATTAGAAAAAAAATAGCATCCGGGCGCTGAGGACACCGGGAGCGTCCCTGGTAATAATGTATATTAAATTATTACTAAGAAAAATGTAATTTATATATTATAATTACTAAGAACCATTTAAAATATGGTACGAGATTATAAAAATTATAGGCAACATTATTGGAGCAGTTATTTTAGGTAAAAAAATCCAAGGTGATATTGTACTTTCACCGCGGATATTATATATTAATTTTTTCTGAATTTGTTAAACTGTTTGAAAAACTTTTCCAAGACAATTTGCAATATAATGTAGAAATTGAGACTCATCATTTTATTTAAAGCAGTTCTACATTTAACATTGCTCATATTGATGTATATGCATTTTGGTGAGAAGAGTAATTTAAAAAACAATAATTATTATTTTTAGGTAAACAGTAAATATAAGTATAGGATATTAAAAAAATGGGGGCGTGGGTACAGAACAACGTCTGTCGTGTCATCTAGTACAAATAAAATACATACTTTCAGGATTTGATGGTCCAGATTTGCTAGGAGCCGTTTATTCACCTAGAGGCAACATACAAATTCATTCACCATATTTGGAAATATCAGCTTTCAATCCACGTTCAAGAATTACTTTAACGACAAGAAAACTAGAGAAAAGGAAGTAAGTTATTATATATAATGTTTATACACACACACACATTATGCATATATGTGTATGTATATATATATGTGTGTGTGTAAACATTATTAGCTGGAATTCACAAAACGATTTTAGAGCATGCTTATATTCATGCAATAGCAAGGGGTCGAATCTATAAAGAAACCTGTCATTTCAACCTGGTATTCTTCTACTTTCCATCTACTGATTTCACTTAAAGCAATAATACGAATATCCTATTCCGTCTTGGTCAGATAGTCCAGATGTAACGTATAACTGCTACAAAAATATTACAAATTAATTCCCCGAACGAAATAACGAAATTCGACACCGAACCAAAACTGGGATTCCTTGCTAAGCAATCGCTAATGTATAGAATATGACACCTCACACTACAGCTTCTGCCAAAGGCTATCTACGATATGGGATTTCTAATAGACAGATACGAATTTAATTTGTCAACATAATATTTTACCTGAAATGTTGAGTTCGCAATCATGCGATATATATTAATACAATCGCAGATTTGCACTACCCGACTACCTCTCCCACAATCGTACGAACAGCTTTAAAAAAAAACTATGATTTTACATCCTAATTCAAATTCGTTCACATTGAAATGATCCTACGATTATGTAAATTCATTAACACTTGGTTTACGGAAGTGATGTATATATGATATGCACATAGGTTAAATACAAGTTGAAATAAAATAGTTATTAACTTACCGTAGGTTAAGTTATAGTAATCGCAAAAAAATCGAAAATGAAAATGTCTATATATCTTTACGTTTTAGAGGTTTCTGAACATTTTGGCATATCTTAGAAAAAATGGATGTATGTGTGTGTGTATGTGAGCGGATACAAAGTTTCGTCGACTGTTGATAAGGAGACGTGCTGATTAGTTTTTGGCATAAGCAGGTCTAGCCATTTCGAAGATACGGGGCAAAAAGTGCCACAAACGGTAACTCAGTTTTTAGGAGAGTGGAGCGTCCGATTTTAATAATTCGAAAAACATTTTACTTGTATTGATAAGATGAAGAACCGATTAAATTTTCATGAAGGCAGGTATAGCGGTTTCGGAGATCTAGTGAAAAAAGTGAAAAAAAATGCCATTTGGTGGTCAAAAATGATCATTAGACATATGCACATCAAATTATCAGATATTTTATAGAAATTTTGTTGAGTGAATATAACTCCTTTCTGGAGCGGAGTCAAATCCTAATCGATCCGGCTTCGGATATGATAATCCCAACTCTACTGCCTATCTATACAGGATAAATGGTCAATTATCATCTTTTTGTTAATGTTTTACAACTGAACCTTTACACTGGCAAAAGTGTAAAAATTATAATACTACTAAATAAAACTGTGTATTAATTTAAAATAATAATTTTACAATAGATAAATTGTAATTAAGTTAATAGTTATTTCATCTATGACGATGAATATTTAAGGTATAATCTTTATAAAAATAGACACATGAAATTTGGATTTGAAATTGGGTAAATAATGTAGCTTGTATTTCGGAAAATTCTTTATAATTAAAAATGAGACAATGGATGTATTTGCCCCCTATGGGATATAAGGCGACTGATGACAAGATTTAGAAAAAATAGCATACAAACATATTTGTATATTTAGGTAATAGCTGAGAATATTTCAATAGTTGAATATTTGATATGTTTTATGTGTTGTGATACATGTTATTTGGATTTTATCCTCTCTTAAACCTTAGCAGATTTTTTTTTCGTTGACAGTTTAAGTCATTATCATCGGTCATTATAATAATTGAATAAAACAAAATATTTCATGACGTATACATTTTGTAACCTTATTACATTTATTTCGATTTTTAACGTTCAGTATAGTTCAGTTTAGTAGAATTAAAAGCAACGCAAAAAATTAAATTGTTTTAATATATCATTACATTTCACATAATTTTATACTCCGTTCGTAATTCACCTTATTCTGGAATATTTACTTGGAAGGAAAAAAATGACTATGTATGCACTTGTACGTAGTATGTATGTATGTAAAAATTTGTTGTCAAGTTTTATGAAACAGATAAACCGATTTAAATAATTTAAGAGACAATCCATTAGTATTGATAACGCGATTGCGAGTTCATTTGCGAAAAGCAGATCAAAGATTCTTTTCTACATTTAGCAAATAGCATATTTTTGTGAAGTTTCGTGTTTCTTACAAATATTAATCATTTTCAGTTTAAATCATTTTACATTAACAAGTTACTAAAAAAAATTAATTGATTTATTTGAAGCTTAAATTACACAAAAATTACATGAAGGATTATATGGTATGTTTGCCTTTTTGTCGAAATTAAGCTTCACCCTTGTATTGAAACGATTTATAAGTCATTTTATAATTCTGAATTTCAACATCGATGGATATATTGAAGAAATAGTAATTATTCTGTAAATTATTGAATAAAATATTCGATTGTCTATAAATGCTATAACATGTTTTTATATTGAAAATTTAATTCAAATTATATTTATTTATGATGTGAAGCTATTCTAATAAGTTTTGAAATTGTATAAATTTTATCTATATTTTCAGATGAATCTTAGATATTTAAAGTCGCAAAAATACAAACATTTAAATTAGCTCATAAATACGTAAAAGTAAAGGAACTCTAGATTGAGCATCAAATGCTTGACAATTTAGTTTAATGAAATTTTGAAAAATTGAAGTTGTATAATGTACAATAACTGATTTTTCATAACGTGAAAATATTGATAATTTTTGAAAATTGTAAATACTCTGAAAACTTGAGTGATAAGTGTGACAAATATCGAAAAAAAAAGTTTATGAAAATTTTACAAAAAGATAAAAATTTAAATACTTCAAACTTTGTAAATATGTTGAAATTTGAGAAAATTTGTCGAAAAAATGATTTTTTTCAAAATTCTGTAAAATAAGATAGTTTATCAAATTCCTAATATATAAATAAAAAGAAGTTAAATTTTGCGATAATAATGAATATTGAGCTAAATTTGAAAACCAATCATTCAGAATACTAGACAAAGTAGAGTAGAGTATTTTTATTTGTATTCTCTATACAAAAGATGTTTCCTTTCAATTGATCATTGGCAGGTAGAATAGTAAAATTTATAAATCATCTGATACTGATATAATAATATAGCGTTCCCGAGTGTAGTGCCAAATGCCGATTTATGTATTTTATTTAAAAACTAGCTGTACTCGATCAGCGTTTCTGTATTATAACTATAAATAAAAATCCATCCACAAATGCGATTCTGTTATATCTAGTTAGTAAGATGAAAAATACCGCAAGTATCTGTCGTGGTTCATTGTTGAGCTGTATTAGATGCATCAGCATCCCAGTATATAATATAAGCTTATAAACATATCAGTATTTAATGAAACTCAGAAAATTTACTGTAAAAACCAAATAAAGTATATCACAACACATAAAACATATCAAATAATCAACTATTGAAATATTCTCAGCTATTACCTAAATATACAAATATGTTTGTATGTTATTTTTTCAAAGGGGGCAACAAATACATCCAATGTCTCATTTTTTATTATAAAGAATTTTCCGAAATACAAGCTACATTATTTACCCAATGCCAAATACAAATTTCATGTGTCCATTTTTATAAAGATTATATCATAAATATTCATCACCATAAATGGAATAACTATTAACTTAATTTATCTATTGTAAAATTTATATTTTAAATTAATACACAGTTTTATTTAGTATTATTCTAATTTTTACAAAGATTCAGTTGTAAAACATTAACAAAAAGACGATAATTGACCATTTATCGATCAGGTTAAAAATGAATAAGAAAATTGAGAAGCGTGGTAGGAGGGTAAAAATTGAGGGTTGCTCAAATTGAAAAAAGTGATCCAATAAATTAAAAATAAATGAAATCTCATGATGGAATTACTTTTTTATGTTAAAATTGAGCTTTTTCATAAAAATCAATAGAATTCATTTTTTCTATACGCATTATAAAGAAATCAAAATTGACCAACATATAAAAAAATTCTTCGAGGGGCGGCCAACCGCTACCACTTGGTTGCGATCAAAATATGCGAAAACCTGTCCGGGGATTACCTATAACAGTTTCCCAAATTTTTACGGCGAAAGAATAAACTAGTTGGTATCAGTATTTTGCTTGAGGCAAGTTACATGAACTTCCCGATATGTAAATAATCGATTTAATCAATAAAAAATAGATTCATTTATTAGTGATTAAAAGTATTCCGAGTCGATTTATTACACATATTTGAAAACGAACGAACACGTTAACTCGGAGTATTCTCTAAAACAAATTTTCACAAATCAATAATTTTTATAACCAGTTTCGTAAGATTTTACTGGTTTAGTATGTTCATCAAGACCAAGAACTCTATCGTTATACCAAGTAGTAAATCATCTAATTTTAATTTTAACAAACATCAAAAAAACTATTCATTTACTAAACTTTGATGAATTTTTTAAAATTAAACTACTTGTCGTAAGGCCGTAATATTTCAATAAGTTGTATAAGACTATGATATATATCATCAAAAAAATTCCATAAAAATCGGCTCAATTTTTTTTTTTACAAGAAATTACAAGAAAATGGCTCGGTAGATTTTCACCTAAAACTAATCAGTATATCATTCCCAACTAATATCTTTCGAACAGTTTTTGATTTTTTAAATCGATTCGGTAGTATGAGCTTAAATGTGGACGAAAAGTTTAACTTTTTTTCAAATT